AGACAGAGACAGAGACAGAGACAGAGAGAGAGTGTGTCAGGGCCCACTTCAATACCTCATCCTAAGAAAGTAGAACTCGTGGAAGCGGTTTCTTCCAAAAGGAGCTTTTATTAGGAGAAGCTGATAGCAGGCATAAAAGACAGAATCTGAGGGTTTCCCACCAGATCGATAAGTAAAAATTTTCCCAAGCATAACCCCACCCCATAGTTCATCCGGTCAGTTCAAACAGGCCAATCCCAAGGTGTTAAGTTCGTTGTGGGGAAAAGGAGATAACATCAGGCTGTCTCCGGGTTGCAGCGATGTTTAGGTGGTGTTTAGGTGTTTAGGTGCCCATTCTAACACTGCCCTGACTTTCTCAGAGTCCATTTCTATGCCCTCGGGGGACATGCGATATCCCAGGTAGTCTATTTTCTCTTTGTGGAATTCACATTTAGACAGTTTAGCATAGAGGTGGGCTGCCCGCAGTTTGTTTAGGGCTGCCTAACCAATTTTACATGCTCTTCCATGGTCTCTGTGAATATAAGGATATTGTCCAGGTAAACTAGCATTCCCTTATATAGGTGCTCCCTTAATACGTCATTTATCAGCTGCATAAAGACAGCTGGGGCCCCTTGTAGTCTGAACGGTAAGACTTGGAATTGGTAACACCCCAGTGGATAATTAAATGAAGTTTTCCATTCGTCTCCTTCCTTGATTCTGATTCGGTAATACACCTCCCTGAGGTCTAATTTAGTAAAGATCTTCCCTTTGGACAGATGGGATAGCATGTCTTTCATGAGGGGTAATGGGTACAGATTGCTTTTGCTTATGACGTTCAGAGCCCTATAGTCCACACATAGACAAAGCGACCCATCTTTCTTTTCCCTGAACAACACAGGGGCAGCTATTTTTGGTTTAGCTGGTTGGATGAACCCCCATTCTAGGTTTTTATCTATGAATTTCTGCATCTCCTCTAATTCTTGGGGACTCATAGAATATAGTCTGGGTTTTGGGAGCTTCGCCCCTGGTCGGATCTCTATGGCACAGTGCATAGGTCGATGCAGTGGTAATTCATCCGACCTCTCCTCATTGAATACTTCAGCTAGGTCCCTGTATTCCTTGGGTATTTCAGGTAGTTCTTTTTTGCTCCCAACCACCATTTTCTCAGCCAAGGCTTCCCAGGAGGGGTTTGTGTTGGTGCTTTGGTTGATTCCCCTTTTGGGAACCTAGGTTCTGCTGTTCTCCAATCCACTCTTGGATTCCATTTGGCTAGCCACACCATGCCTAGGATTATGGGGCACTCCATGCCAGGGGTCACTACGAATGTTATAGTCTCTATGTGATGCCCACGGTGAGTTGGAATGGTAACATTGCTAAAATAGTTGTCATCCCCCCTGCTATGGACCCATCTAATTGACCGAATGAAATTGGTTTCTTCAGCCTCCTCACTGGTATGCCTAGATACCCCACTAGTGTTGGGCTAATAAGGTACCAGGTACACCCAGAGTCAATTAGTGCCCTGACTTCTACAGCTTCGGGCATGGTGGGGGTTAGTATGGTTACCATCCTGGTGAGGAGCACAATGGGTCCACTTACCAGGGGTTTATCTTCAGAATTGTCGTTGGATGAAATGGATGCTCCTGCTATGTAGGCCGGAGTTCCCTTTCCTTGCTGGGTGGTTGAGGGGAACGTAATGGTCTCCATGCCTTTCATGGTGGGTTCCTTCAGTTTGGCAGGTGACTTCCTGGACTTCCCAGCCAGGGTCTGGTCTGTCTTCTCAGTTGGGGTGCCCAAACAGCATTCTGCGGCACGGTGCCCCTCTTTGCTGCACTTGAAACAGCCGGTGGTTCTTTTGGTGGTTGGCTGCTACTTCGTGGCCTCACAGGATGGCTCTGATGGCAACTTCCCCCATAGTCTCCCTCTGCACTGTCACTTGGCCAGGTCAATCTCAGCTTCCTTGGCCAGGATGTACCAATCTTGCAGTCGGTGGGGATCTCCTCGGGGAAGGCAGGCATCATAGAGATCGTAATTCAGGCCATCTTTGAAATGGCTGAGCAGGATGTCCTTGGGCCAATTCAGCTTGCTGGCCAGGGTTTGAAACTCCTGGATATACATGGCCATTGGTCATCTGCCCTGCCCTGCCCTGCCCTGCCCTGCCCTGCCCTGCCCTGCTTTTATTCTTTCGCGGGCTTTTCGGTCTGCCAATGGGTCTTCAAACCTGTGCCTGAGGGAGAACATGAACTGATTGAAGTTCAATAGTTCCAGTACATCGGTGTCGTAGAGGTCCACGACCCAGTCTGCTGTGATGCCATCCAGGGCGGCTTGCACTGCAGATTCTGGCACATTTGGAGGGGGATGTCTCGACCATACTCCTCCATATAGTTTAAAACCTGGGTTAGGAAGAACCCCAGGCATTGTGACTCACCCCAGAACTTCACATCGAGTGGTGGGAACTTTTGAATGGAGCACTGCTTTTTCTTGCATCTGTGGCATCTCCCCTATTGGTGTGCAGCATCTGCTTGCCAGGGGGGTAGGGGCAGTGGCAGCAACCATAGCGGGTTCAGCTGTCTCACTGGACGGCCCTGGGGCTTCAGCTTCGGACTCACATTCGGTGTCCTTTTTTCCGCAACCGAAACGGATGGTTCTGGTGTAGGGTTCAGGTTTCTCCTCCTTCAGGGAATCTAGGGCTATCTTCATCAAGCTGATTGCCTGCTCCAGCAACTGGCTCAAATGCCCTGGGCGGTCTTCCTTGTCCTCGCTGAGATGGAGGGATCTTTCCATCTCCTCCTTCCAGCCTGGCTGGTGGCTGCCTTATCGGAGTGTCACCTTCCTCGCCTTTTTCTCCCAGTCTTCCTTCTTCCTGACACCCATCGACCACCGAGGTTTGTGGCTGCGCACCTCCACTACCTCTTCTTCTGATGAGTAGGAAGACTCAGAGCTGGATAGCTTGCAGGGATCTGGCAGCAGGGAGGCTCCCCCTTTGCGGTGGACTCTTCTTTCCCTGCTCCGTTGTCTTGGTCTTGCAAAGTCCCCAGGTAAGGGCTTTCCTTCCAGGCTGACTATTACTGCAGATGTTGTCTAATGTCAGGGCCCACTTCAATACCTCATTCTAAGAAAGTAGAACTCATGGAAGCGGTTTCTTCCAAAAGGAGCTTTTATTAGGAGAAGCTGATAGCAGGCATAATAGACAGGATCTGAGGGTTTCCTGCCAGATCAATAAGTAAAAGGTATCCCAAGCATAACCCCACCCCATAGTTCATCCAGTCAGTTCAAACAGGCCAACCCCAAGGTGTTAAATTCATTGTGGGGAAAAGGAGATAACATCAGGCTATATCCGGGCTGCAGCAATGTTTAGGTGGTTCTTTGCACCTTTCCTTGTGAACTCAGAGATAAGACAGTTGCCAGAGGTACATTCCGTTCTCCTCCCCCCTTTACTAGCGGACAACAGGGGAGAGAAAGTTCACAGAAGAAGAAACGCAGAAACAGAAAAGTGTTACATTGTAGCAATAAGGAAACAAGGCAATGACCCTCAAGCGCTTCCCCCCTCGCCTCTAGGAGTATGGCAGAACCCAGGGAGAGAAGAGAATGCATTTCGGATTTAGAAAGGAGGAAAAAGGCCCTTTAAAATATGGGTTCTGACAGAGAGAGAGACACAGAGAGAGAGAGAGAGAGAGAGACAGAGACAGAGACAGAGACAGAGACAGAGACAGAGACAGAGAGGCTGTGTATGTGTATTTGTGTGGGGGAGAGATTTGAGACAGATCATGTATTTACAAGGATAAGCATAACTCCTCTTCCCCCGGTGAGGAATACCCAAATTAAGCTTTAGACCAACCCATGACTTTATTCTTCTTTATTTTTCAGATGGTCCCCTAAATGGAATGAAAAAAATGGCACTATATGAACAATTATGAGGTTTAAAACTGATCCATAAGGTTCCTGGTTCCCTTCCAAATTGTATAATCCCTGAGTTTGAATGATTGTTTATTGAAGTGGATACTTGAGATAATGGCAGTAAAAACCTGTCTGATGACACTGCTCATTGTACTTAAAGGAGGAAAACTGCATCATGGTAATATAGTGAAATGATAGTTTTATGTTCGTATCAGCCAAATGATGGAAGGAACAGGAGTAGAAGATTAAATTCTAAAAAATAAAAATATATCTAGCATTATTTCACAACATGGCACCCACCAACTATCAATACAGATATGGTGAACCCATCATAGTACAGGCTTAGGACATTACCTTCCATAGTGGCTGCTTCAGAAAGTTCAGTTTGTTTTCATGTTCACCCACTCTGTACTTTCTTATGGATGAATGGAAGTCGTGCAAAGCATGTGCCACCACATAGGCCGCATTATAGATGCTGTAGCTGTGGCCAGTCATATGCATTTCAAACACAGATGTAGGAAGAGTCTCCAGTTTCTCCTGTCCATTGCAGAGGATCTTATCTTCCTCTTCAATCATGTTGATGTGGAATGAACATTCAAATGCATTTTTCCAGAAGACCCTGAAAAAGCTATCTTCTTTTTCCAGAATAGGGCTTTTTGACTGAAGAAATTTCTGGAATCCTAAAATCTTCTCTGAGTGAATTGCGAAGGATAAAATGCCATGGAGGAAGACTAGGTCAATATTTCTTATAAAGGGAACTGATGTGAAATCCATTTGAGCTGTCATAATCCAAATTTTATCTTTGTTCCTTAGTGCTACATTATCATCTTTCAACCTGTTGGAAAGTATTCGTAGAAGTATTATGTGATCAGTTTCACCATGAAGGACCACAACATTAACAGTGCTTCTCATAACTTCATAATATACTTTACTCCCTTCTTCCAGTGAATCAACCAGACCATTAGAATAAGTACTTCTGGGGAATTTTTCAATGAAGGCAAAGCAGATGCCTCTCTTGGCAAACATGGGGACTACATTTTGCACAAACCTCTGCCCATTCTCATTATTTACAGTATATGCACCAATCCATGTCCATTTGAAATGAAGCAGTAATTTGACTATACCCATATATTGATGTTCTGCACTTGGGAAAATCTGTTGGTAGAAAGCATTCTGCTTTCTGACATCTGTTTCTGGAACAAACCCATATACAATCTAAAAACAATGAAATGAGAAATACATCTTTTTAGATAAAATGTTGATAATTACAATCTTTCAATATTGTACAGTAGCTCCAAATTAGAAATTAAATTGTAATTGATATTTTAAATTTTGAATCCAGTTATATTTCATGACTGTATTCAAGAAGGTTTCGTGCACTAAAGAGATTGAGAATTTCCCCATGATCTTCTCAATGAGTAGACCTTGAGGAAATGGAATGAGCATATATGTCATTTTAAAACACATAGAGATGGGATAATAGCTGCATTAGTAAAAGTGATATTTGTACCAATGTTTGACCAGCTTTTCCAAGCATTTGCATTTCATGGAATTAGAACTTCCCATATTATATTAGTGAAGCAGAATTTGGAACATATTTCCTATTGCAGGGGGTTTCTGTGCCATTATCTCAAGATAAGGTATTTGATAGAATCTTCTTCATTTTCAGTTCTAGTTACTTTGATAGATTATGATTGGATGTTATGTAATCTTAGAGAGAGAAGACAAAATATATACAGCATTTATAACTTCTGTAAGGAAGATTGGCAGCCACTTCTATATGTTTTTTTTCTTTTTCAATTTTTCAATTTTTGTCTCTTTTCTCTTGTTTCATTCCTATTTTCTTTTATATTACTTGATCTTTTTTCTTTAAATTTATTTTGCTTTTACTTTGTAAAAAAACCTTTTTCATAAAAATAATTTTAAAAAATTATGATCGAATATCAGCATCTATTTTTACACATACATATAAAGAAAGGGGAGAGAGGGGGGAGAGAGGAAGAGAGGAAGAGAGGGAGGGAGAGGGAGAGATTCATTTATCAACCAGGCTCAATTTCTGTGTCTAAAACTGTCTGGAAACAGTTCCAGAATTCAGTGTTAATAATTCAAATGTATTCTCTCCAGATAAAAGTGCAGTACTATAAAATCATCATCATTATTCTTATCATCATCATCATCATCATCATCATCATCATCATCAAGGGTAGTTCAAAGCATTAATCCTTTACTCTGTTACTTCAACATACTACAGGACAAATATTTTACAACTTCCAAAAATCTTTCTGCCAATCATAATATTTTTTCATTCCTCTGTCACCTACTTCATAAACATTTTTCATTACCTGTGGCATCTTATACAGTGACAGAATCGTAGCCATATGCAGAGACACTTCAGAAGTTGGGCCTCCAATGACTGCTATTGGTTTGTTTTGAATTTCACAGTTGTAATTAGGGATAAATCTGCTTTGTGTAGAAAAGAGTTCCAATGAGGCACGGAAAGTCCAACCTGGAGAGAAATATGAGTTATAGATATGGAAGCCTAGGGTATAATTAAGTAAAATATGGGGATTTTCATTGATCTCCTTGATAGCAAACTCTAAGGCTAGGATGTGCTGGTAGAGTGGAGTCATAAACCTGAAATGAAAATTATACACAATATCACAACCAATTCATTTCAAACTATGATACATCATATGATTGAGTTCAATGTAATATTTCACACTGTGCCCACATACATGGATATGACAAAATATTGTTAAAGTCATGATGATTTCTAGATCCAGAAGTCTAATACTCATGATCTTTAATAAATCTTTAATTTAACATTACTCATATAAGCTGGATTTTGCAATCAAATTCTTCCAGTGAATACTTTCAGGAGGACACTAATCTTTCTTTCTGCACTTTGGAGTAAGTTCCTTATTGATGGTCTCTAAAATGGTATTGATGAATGTGAAGGAATGAGTTTAATATAAAATACATGCAAGGTTTATGAGTCTTTCATCAACTCTATCCTGTTCAATATCCCAATGCAAACATGAAAATATGAAGCATTGGCACTAGTAAAGGATCCACCTTAAAATGTATGGAGAAGCTACTGGAATGTATAGGTTTATGTCTACAAAAGTTTCGTTTGATGGAAAACTAGATTTTTGCAACTATTCTTTTTTTGTCTATTCATTTCTTAAGGGAAGAGAAATAGCGCACTCTCGAACAGAGGTCCGTGAAGAGAGGTTTTCCCTCAGGCTGGAGAGTGCATGGTTTTATGTGCTGCCTGCATCTTGTGGATGGGGCTTTGCTTGTTTGTGCGGTTGCTGCAATGCTGCGGCCCAGTACTGGTCCACAGACCGAGGATTGGGGACCCCTGCCCTAGAAGAGCTCCTACTGTACTAATTTCTTGCAGTAAAGCAGTAATTAGTATGGCCCATTTCGATTTCCTGTGTTTTCAATATATATTTACCATACATAATCTGACAACAGTAATATTCTTGGTTAAGAACCTCTTATTTTCTCATATATCATCCAAGCATTTTCTTTTCCTTTTTGATATTTCCCTGCCTCCCCCTCAAATGCACATTACTATTTGTGCAATTATTTAATTATGGCAAAAAGTGTGAAGTAATCAAATGGGGAAAGGAAAATGTAATAAAAACAGGAATATGAGAAACTGATGATGAAGATGGTGATGGTGGTGGAGGAGAAGGAACCAGATGCTAGTCAGCAAAAGTAGAGTTGAGATTAAATATAAGACTTTGCTTCAATGAAATCAAAGCTAGCATAAATTTATAAATATATCTTGATAAAATCAACACATTTTCTGTGTGGTTGTGGCTGGGTGCGTCTTGGTTTAAAGATCTTACACAATGTCCTCAAAGAGCTCTTTGGAGGGACGTTCTGTGAAGTTTATCATTGCATAAAAGATGTAGATCTGTGAGAGAATGTCCACAACAATAAGATCTCCTGACTGATATTGCTTGTGAAGAAAAGGCAGAGGATCATTGATGCTGCATTTGGTGCTGGAAATCATGCATACCACTCGGGGCAAAAACACTAAAAGAAGGACTACAAATACCACCATCTTGAGTAAAAACATTTTTTTCTGAAACCAATTCATCTGTCCCAACATTGTCCTTCTTTAGATAGCATGGCTTGATTGAAACAGCTACTTGGCCAGTAATGTTGTTTTCACTGAGCATTAAAAATGATCTATGAACCCATTCCTGAAGACCAATCACTATAGCTCAGAAATATAAAAGTGGATAGCCCTCCTTGTACTACCAGCTAAAGGAATTCTCCGGGGGAAAGGAGGTGATAATTGCAGAGGAGAAATTACCAGCCTGGTATCAAATGTCTTCAGAAAGATGTCTTTGAGTAGAAAAACATGTTTTTCACAACACTGTGTGGCACTTGTGGGTACAGAAACACATTAAATTGTTTAAATTGTATTTACACTTACAGCTCCTGGTCAAAGAGCAGGTGGCAGTTGTCACCAAGAGGATGTTTTCACAACTGTGGGCTATGCACTGTTTATGTCCTTTCCTGGACCAACAATCCCTGCTCTCAGTTACCCATGCTCTAGATCCGTAGTGTCGAACCTATGGCACGCGTGCCACAGGTTGCACGCAGAGCCCTCTCTGTGGGCACGCACGCCATTGCCCCAGTCCTAGACCTTCAGCTGGGTTTTATAAAACCTTTTTGCTTTAGGCCTCCACCACCGTGTGCAAAAAAAAAAGGTTCAATCAATCAATTTCAACTTCTCATGGGAAAAAAAAGATCTCGCAAAGTTAGAATAGATTTGTTAAGTCCTGGGAATAATGGCGCTTGAGACGAAGCATCTCCAACAAGTCTTTATTGTTTGCTCCATTCTATGAACAACCAGAGCAGAGGCACGCAGGCCTCTCTTTATACCCTCTAATCCCCAGGCAAGTTCAACCAATCATGAGGCGGGCTTTTCCCGCTTTGCGCATGCGCACAAGGCCGGCGCCGCTCAGTCTGGTCCAGGGCAGCTTCTGCAATTGCCCGGGACTCTTTCAACATCCCGAGCCTGCAAGATGCAGGCTCAGGACACAACACCCCTTTCCCCTGGATGAAATAAGATTGCGCCCACATGGACGCCATCCTATAGATGGTAATATAATTAATAATAAAATAAAGTTACACAATGTATAAGGTGTGGGACTGTTCCTTTGAACCAGAACCAGTGACTTCCCCCCGACCTTGTTTACTTAAATACAACCCGCCAGTGCATTCAGTCAGCTTTCACTATGTACCTGTTCACCTTACATAATCGGCTAGGTATTTGGGAGGACCTCTTGCCCTGAGTGACCNCAGCATGAGACGTGTTCCCCCTTTGTATTGCCTGCTCTCTTGCATGTTGTGAGTTGTGAGTATGCTCCCATGTATTCTCCGTGTCTGGAGTATTGCTTGATAGGGGTGGATAATTAGTCTGCCACCGGTGGGACTCCCAGGCTGGAGTGTGTGTGGGGGTGTCTATGTACTCCCTTTCCCATGAACTGCTACCAGAAGCACCTGTGGAAGTTGGGTGTTGCGTACCCATTTCCCTTTCCACAGCCAACGTAGGCTGTTGATTTTGAATCCCAGAATGCATTTCCCATTCCTCCTCCCCCCCCAGAGGAGACTGAGGAGGAACCATAGGCGCGTCCCGCCTCACACGTAATTGATCGATGTGGTGGTGAAGCACGCGGCCATCTGGCAGGGACACCTCATAAGACAGAGGTCCCGAGACTTTACAGACCACAGCCGGTACCCAAAGGTAGCCAGGCCCGTAATTCCTGGCCCATACAGGATCACCTTCACGAAGGACCCGTGGTGGGTGTGGCTGAGACACCTGAGCAGGTACACATTCCGGATGCAGCCTGTCCAATTTAGTCACGAGCCGACGACCCCAGCGGAGTTCGGCCGGGCACTTACCCATGGCAGTGCACGGAGTAGTACGGTGTGCCAAAAGAAAGTCAGCCAACCTGTGATGCCAGTTGCCGTAGGTCAGCTTCTTGAGGGCGTCCTTGGTGACGCGGACCATCCGTTCAGCCAGACCGTTGGTGGAAGGATGGAAGGGAGCCGAAGCAGCATGGCGGATCATGTTGGTCCTAAGAAATCCCTGAAACTCAGTAGAAGTAAATTGAGGACCGTTATCTGACACTAGAACATCTGGCAACCCATGTGCAGCAAAAATGCTCCTCAGCACCTGGATAGTCTTGGCAGCTGTGGTAGAAGACACAGGCACGACCTCCAGCCACTTGGAATGGCTATCAACAACAACCAGGAAGAATTGACCCTGAAAGGGCCCAGCGTAATCTACATGTATTCTAGACCATGGAGTGTGTGTTTCCTCCCACCTGTGTACAGGGGCCTGGGGCATTTCAGGTCTGGACTGTTGGCAG